GTGCCTTCAAGGAAGTTGTGCAGAAAGGAAACAGACGAGTGAAGGCAGACATGCCTTGGAGACATGGAAGGGGGGCATGAGAGGCAGGGGAAGCCAAGAGGACCGTTTCTGTTGATGGCCAACCCCACCCAGCCTGGCATCCCAGATCAAGGCCCCCTCTGACCACATAACCCCTCCCTCCCAGGAAATCGCCTCCAACCGATTGACCTGCAGCAGAGTCCTCGTCGCCCAGGACCACCACGGCTCCTCCCCCATCCCCGCGTGGACAGCGCCATCTGCACCACCAAGGGGGTCTTCCTGTTCGTGGGGGCGGACTTCCACCAGTACCAGGACGTGGCCCAGCTCAGTGCTGCTACCGTCCCGGCGCCAGCCCAGAACACGGCAGCCGCCTTTTTCCGCTGCTCTCCCTCCGGGGCTCCCAAGCCTCCTCCCCGGGGAGGGCACCACCCTGGAGCCAACCCTCAATAAACCTCGTCTCGGCCGTGGTGTCACTGCTGCTTCGTTTGTGTGTGTGTGTGTGTGAGACGGCCCCTCGGCAAGGATCGCTGCAGACCAGCAGGAGTGGGGAGGGGAGGGGGGCTTGACCAAGATGGCGCCGAAGGCCGGCCCTCCCTCCCTCCCCCCCTCCCCTGGGCGCAGCTGTCATCGGCTCAGAGGGGACGGGGGCGCAGGAAGGGCAAAACGAGTCCGGTTCGGTAGAAGAGGCTTTTATTGCAGGCCGTTTAACTCGGCTGTTAGCCAGCCGGGGCCGCGGGAGTTCGCTGGCTTCGTGGGCTTAGGCGAAAATGCAGACGGTGCCCGAGGCCAGGCGGTGGTGGTACTCATGCAGGAGGCTGGCGGCCAGCGGGAAGCTGCTCTTCATTTCCAGCTTCCCTGGCACCACCAGGAGGGTGACGCCGGGCCCCAGCCCTTCGGCCAGCTTCTGCAGCATGCGGCGGGCCAGGTAGCCGCGGGCGCGGGCCGGCTCGGCCTCCAGACTGGCGTAGACCTCGGGTGGCGGGTTGGGCAGCTTCCACTCCAGCTCGCCGATCAGCTGGTTGGTGCGAGCCCTGTCCAGGGCCGAGGGGCTCTCCCGGTAGCAGGCCACCAGGCGGAGCCCCGCGGCGGCCCGCGCCGTCACGAAGCTGCCCTGGGCCAGCACCTCCCCACTGCCCGCCTCGCCCTCCGCCTCGCCCTCCGCCCGCCAGGCCATCACGGCCCAGCAGAGCCAGTCGTAGTTCTGCTCCAGCTGGCGCAGGAGCGAGGCGGCCAGCTGAGCCGGGTCGGGAGGCGCCGCCTGCTCGAGGGCGCGCTCCACGTCCTCCTGGGCCTGCTGGCGGAAGTAGCCCTTGCACTGGGCCAGCGCCTCCTTCATGAGCTTGTGCAGCGCAGCCACGCGCTGGTCCCAGACGCCCAGCAGCAGCGCCGGGTCGCGCTTGCCCAGCCCCGCCTGGCACAGCAGGCACAGCAGCCCGGCGCCCAGCACGGCGTTCAGCTTCTGGCAGAAGAGCGCCATCTGCGGACGGCGCGGGCGGTGACGCTGCACGGCCTGCTCCAGCAGGGGGCGCTGCAGGGTGAGCACGGCGTTGCCCTGCAGGCGGCGCCACACGACCAGCAGGCGGCGCTCCAGCTTGTCCCGCACGCAGCCCTGAGCGAAGAGCTCGGTCTCCAGCGGCGCGGCGGAGGCCGCTGCCCGCACCGCCAGGCACAGCTGGCCGAAGGCGGCGGCCACGCAGTCCTCGCAGGCGTCCAGCCCGCCGTCTTCCAACAGCCCGGGGCCTGCCGCCAGCTCGCGCTCCAGCAGCTCCACCTCTCTGCGCACGAAAGCCAGCTCCTCGGCGGTGGCCGAGCCCTGCAGGTGGGACACGACCCCCAGGGCCAGCGAGCGCAGCGACTGCAGGAAGCCCACCGGCTCCAGGCACTGGGAGAAGAGCGCCATGCCGCGTCCTGCAAGGAGAGGCGGGAGGGCTGAGGGGGCTTGCAAGACGAGGGGACGGAGCCTGGGACCCCCGCCGCCTTCCTGACCCTCCAGCCAGGCAGCCACTACTGCGGGTCTCGCTCCTTCCTGCCCGGCCTCGTGTGGGGAAGGTCTGAGTGGCCCACGGAGGGATTTTCCTGGCTTCTTTGGTTGACTGTGGAAGGCCTGGGCCAAGGGGCTTTGGAGGGGTCCGTGGTGGCAGAGTAACCCTAGACCGGCCCCTGGTCAGAAAGGAGCAGACCAGGTAGTGGAGGAGACTAGTTGAAGTTCTGGGAAGTGCGTTAAGAATACAGTGACCGAATTCTTGGAGGTTTGGCCTCGGCCCCATGGGGGATAAGGTGGGGTGGGTGGCTGGGTGGAAAAGAGGCAGAAAGGGAAGAGGTAGGCAAGCCCCCTTCCCCCCCCCCTTCCTGCCTCGTGTGACATATCTCCCCAAAACGTTTAATTTTCTGCATTCAACCCGAAGGGAAGCCTCCCCAGGCTTAAATGGAAACAGGTGGCTAGTTATTACTTCATTGATGAGCCCTACCCCCCAAAGAGCACAGGCCACAGGCAAGTCTAGCTGAATTGAGCTCATTCTCTGGGTGATCCAGACTGGTGATCCTCACAGCAACTCTGCCTTCTCCAGGGCCAGAGAAGAGGGTGGAGGGGCCCATCTGGCCCAGGCTGTGGCTCTCTTGGGAGGCTGGGCAGGACTCATCCTCAGGACTCTCTGCCCTTGTGCTGCCCTCCAGGGGAGTCAGGCAGTCGGCCGCAAGAGGAGGAGGAGGAGGAGGGGCCCGCCCTCCCAGCCTGTGCTGTGAGATCGCCAAGGGCATCGAGGGCCTGGCTCACCTCCTGAATCCTTGGCCAAGCGCTGCCAGGGGTCAGCCGGGCATGGGGGAAGAGGGGCAGGGCCAGTTCCCAGGGAAGGGGGAGTTCAAAACTTTGTCAAGGTGGCTGAGAAGAAACAGGGTCTTCACCTTGGTCAGCATGTCCGCCCACCAGCATGCAGTCCCATGGATAAATAGTCTGGCCTGGTGGGTCAAGATCCCATTGGGTAGGGGTGGGGGCAATGAACAGTTTGCTCATAACCCAAAGCCCTCTCCTTAAGGGCAAGGGAGCCAAATGTGGATCCCCCTGGGGCAGGGAGCCTCCCCTTTCTGACCTTCCCCCTCTCAGGTCTTTCCCTGGGATTCTGCCTGCCCAGTTCCCTGCTAATGGCCTCAGAGATGCCACAGCTGGGGCTTGGGCTGGGGGTGGGTGGGTCTGTCTTAGCCTTACCTGTCAGCCTGGCTCTTGCAAGCTTCCACCTGGACTGTGCACCTGCTGGTACCTGTTGCCTCCCTGATAAATCCCCAATTTATCTTGGCCCTGCCCACCTGAGCCACGTGCTCAGAGGTTTTGCCTTGGGCCTCCTGGACCCCCTCCAGATTCTCTGTGTGGGGCGGGTGGATAGGTGGTGTTCTGGAGAGAATGTGGAGGTGACTTTCATGCCTTCTCTTAGGGGTTTCCCACCTGGTTTTCTGCCTGTTGTTGGCTTTGCAGGAGCCGTCAGGTGGAGGCACCTTAAATCCCAACCCTTCAAACAGCCTGTGCTCGATGGGCCTGTCCCCTCTCTCTTCCTGGGAGGGAGGAGTCCTATTTATTTGGCTCTGTCTTGTCTCTTTTTAAGGCCTTCTCCCCACCCGAGGAAGGGGGGCCTGCATGCTCTAAAGCAGTGGTTCTCAACCTGTGGGTCGGGACCCCTTTGGGGGTCGAACGACCCTTTCACAGGGGTCGCCTAAGACCATCCAAAAACACATATTTTCAATGGTTTTAGGAATAATTTTATGGTTGGGGGTTACCACAACATGAGGAACTGTATTAAAGGGTCGCGGCATTAGGAAGGTTGAGAACCACTGCTCTAAAGGCTCCGGAGTTTGCCCTGCTTGGCTGGTCGGTGCCCAGCTGCTCTCGTTCATTTGGCCCTGTTGAAAGGAGATACCTGCCCTGCCTTGCAGCCTTGGCCCTGGCCCTGGCCTGAGCAGAGCCCCAGAGGCAGCTCCTCTGCTCTGGGGCAGGTAGTGACTTCTATGCCCCCTCCTTGGAACCTTCAGGGCAGCCCCTGTTTCTCTTTCACTGGACTAGGAAACGCCCAGCCAGAAGAGCAAGGGTTAAACTGCAGGGGGGTGGGTGTTTATTGGCAGGCATGGACTCTGGCACAGGAGCCCATGGATGCTGGAGGAGATTGGCAGCTGCACAAGACCTGAGCCCCTTTGCCAGTGCTGAGGAAAGAGGGTGCTGCTGCAGGCTGGGGGTGGGGACCCAGCTATGATCTGGGATGGCAGCCTTGTCTCCCTTCTAGTGCTCTCTTACACATGGCATCGTACTTACACAATCTTGGGGAAGAGGTGGTGCAAAGTGGTATAAGATGGGGGCTGTTGCATTGCTCCTCTTGCTGGTGCCCTGTCCCTGCCTGCCTGTTGAGCCTCTTCCTCGCTGCACTTGGGACCCAGGATGCTTTGATGCTTGCCCTCTTAACCCCTCAGAGCTTCAGAGCATCATAGCAGTCGTGGTTGCAAAGGACTCTCTTTGAGTGGCACCCACAGCCGCCTCACGTTGACCCAGGATTTGGAGGCCTAACACCTGGGTTAGAGCCTGGCATGCAGACCTCCCAGATGTGTCATGCCTGAGCCCTCCTGCCTGGCATCTGAGGCAGAAACTCCACTCTGCTGCTTCTCTTTTGTTTTCCCTTGAAGGACTAAATGAAGGACCAACTTCAGGCCTTTTTATAGATTTTTAATTCAAACATGGTTTTATTCTAAGTATATAAAACATTAACAGTGCTAATAATTTTATTGTTTTTTTTCCATCTTCTGCACAAACTCTTGCTCTTTTAATATTGTATTATTTAAAGTCCATCTAGCTCTTCTTTTTTGTCTTTTCCAAGTTATCATCACTGGGTTATGATCCGCCCATAAATTAGTTTCTATTTCCACATGTTCTATATTCAACAACTGTTGAATTCATACTGGCGGGCTTCTCATGAGAGTTTCAGTTTAGGAAAAACACAGGACAAGCATTTTCTCGGGATGAGAGAGCAGCAAACAAAGAGCTACAATCTCTTTTATTAGTTACCAAAATACAGCGTCATCAGAAGGCGTTATTATGGCCACACATCTCATATTACATACGAGAGATAGGAAAACAATGGTAAAGATAAAAAGCAAAACCTAACTCTGGCTGCTTGGTACCAGATACTACCAGGCGAGAGGCCCATCTCTGTTATCTGATTCTCAGGAATGTGTTTACAAAGAGATAAGAGATGTGTCTGCTTTGTTTCTCAAGAATGTTTATACAAGGAGATATCTTTACTTTTGCAGGCACATCCTATGTTATAAACAAAGAGAGAATGAATAGGGCCCTTCAGAGAGTATCCATATGAACCCACTTTTCATAGTTTGATTATTTCATTGCTAAGCTCCATACAAGTGTCCAACCAGTTAAACTGGTCTATACATGTACTATGGCCACTGCATTCCCACAAACAACAATTCCATTGTTGACCATATCGTGTCTAACCTAGACCACGATAAATGTCTGTCTGAATAAAATGTATATTGTTTCTTTCCTTTATTTCTTTCTCTCCATATATCTTTCATATTCATTTCCTCCATCATCTTAAAAAAGGACTTTGGCAATATTTTCCTACTGTGCTTTGTTGCTTTATTCATTTTGTAGTCCCAATTTTCCTTCACAATTCCATTAAAATCTCCCATCATGCATATGTTGTCATAATCCATTTCAGTTACTTTATTGTGTAGTCTTCCATAAAAGTCACTTTGGTTTTCATTTGGAGCATAAATTGCTATTTTATTGTTTTATAATTTGCAATATCTCCTCAGCAACTAAACTCCTGCCTTTCTCTGTTGCACGCATTTCTTCTCTCCTGCCAAGATGCCCATTTTAAGCCCTAGGTGGGCATTTTCAAAAGTTTCATTGTTTGCTCCATAGTAGTTGCTGTAGGCAGCCTACCTCCCCTTCACCAACGGTGCTCCTTTATTGGCATGTGGCCCCAGGGGAGCCCCCTGGCCTTGTGCAATAGGCCTCTCGAGACCCTGGGTGATGGGTGGGTGGGCTGGCTGTCCATTGTGTATAGCGGCAGCTAGAGTGGCACAGAACAGGTACCCTCATTGCCTGCAGGAATGAGTGCCATTCCTGTGTCCTTGCCCCAGTGCGAACAGGGACAGAACTTGCTTTCCCAAACCTGGAGGGGGGGGGCGACCTGAAGCCTTGAATGCATCAGGGTGAGTAATGTATATAGCACAAGCCACCCAACTAGGCAGAGGAAATAGATGGACCTTTTGCTATACGGTTAAATGAGGTGCTGCAAGAAACATGCCACTCCAGCAATGGGGGACTTTGTCCTGACATCAGCTGGGAAACAAACTCTGCAGCAAGTGGGAGACCAAACAGGCTCCTCACCTGCCTGGCTGACAACTCTTGTTACCCAAAAGGTAGAGAGAGGAACCAGGGAGTCAGCTACACTCAACTTAATTCTTACTAACAGAGATGAAATGATAGAAGAGGTGGAAGTCACAAGAACTTTGGGGGAGAGTGACCATGTCATACTAGAATTCACCATAATACAGGCACAGGTAACAATGTCAGACTTTAGACATTAAGAGAGCTGACTGACTTCAACAAACTTAAGGGGGGAATAGGAAGGATTCCGTCGACAGAAATCCTAAAGGGTAAAACAATTCCAAGATGCTTGAGAAACTGAAAAATGAGAAATGCAGGCCCAAAAAAAGGACATCAGACAAGATGTCCTGCGCACGTTTCGTCGTGCTCTCAAAACTTTTTTATTTCAGCAGGCTGGCCTGCTCTCCTCTTTTAAATTTTTAATTCGTTTGATTTTATAAATTGGGTGTTTTAATCTGTGTTTCGGCCAAAATATTTAATAATTTTAAGGGATTTTTAATACTTGTATTATCTGTATTTTATCTTGGCTGTTCGCCCTGAGTCCTCCGGGAGTAGGGCGATATAGAAATTTGATTAATAAGTAATAAATAAGATCAGAATGGTTGCATAAAGAGTGCTCTGACAAAATGAGGGATAAAAAGGACAAGTGTAAAAACTAGAATGAGGTGTCCATAAGTAGAACAAAATATCAGCAGATAGCCCAAATCTACAAAGAGGGTTTCAGGAAAGCTAAAACACACAATGAGCTGAAACTTGCAACAAATGCCTAAAATAACGAAGTTTTTCCACATGTAAGGAATAAGAAGAAAATCAAGGAAATGGTTTGCTACTGGAGGAAGATGGCAAGAAGGTGACAAGCAGCAGGGAGAAAGCAGAACTGCTTAATTTCTTCTTTGAACCTGTTTTTACACAAAAGGAAAAAAATAGCCCAACCTACCAAAATTGTTGGAGACAAAACAGGAAAGCAGGCCAAAATAGGCAAAATACCTGTGCACTTTAGATGAGTTCCAATCACCAAGATCGGATGGTTTACATCCCAGGATTAGAATTGGGGTTTGCTATCCCTGTGAAAGATGGGCTCAAGATTCACAAGGATCTTGACAGACTTGAGCATTGGCCCTAACCAACAAGATGCAGCTCAGTAGTGAGAGAAGCCAGGTCCTGCCACTTGGGCAAAAAACAAGCAAGCAAGCAAGCAAGCAAAAAACCAGGCCCTGAATAGGCACTGCCGGGCTCAACAGCAACTGCGAGAGTCCGAGCACACCACCACTTAAGTATCAGCCAGCAGTGTGCTGCAGCAGCCAAAAAAGCCAACCCAGTCCTGGGCTGCATCAACAGAGGGACAGCCTCAAGTTCATGTGAAGTGACAGTACCCCTTTGTTCCTGCACTGGTGAGGTCACGCTTGGAATTCTAATCACGAGGACAGAAAAAAGATCCTAGAGAGAGCGAGCAGAAAACCAAGATGATGGAGGATCTGGAGGCTAAAACATACAGTGAATGGTTGAAGGCACTGGGTATGTCTAGCGGCTCTAGCCTAAACACAGAAGGATTTTCATTGTCTTAGAATTCTTCTCTAGAGGTTGAGTCTCTGCCTCCAGAGAAAAAGAAAAGATTGTGCCAGCAATGAAGAATTTAGCATGTAGAAAGTTTTGAATTTACTACAGCTCTTGTTGCAGTTTAACTATTCAAGACAATAGGCTATAAATGCTGGTGCCAAATAAATTCTAAAAATTAATAAAGGGATATTTGAGGAATTTCTATTCATTATGGAATACATATTTGGACACAGTTCTATATATTTACACCCAAATACCTTTTCATTATAGTTTATTAGATACAATAGATTGACATATATCTTGCTATATCCATTATCCATAGCACATTTAAAACAATGTTTTATGCTGTAATTTTACTTAAAGCTTATCAATAAGAAAAAATATATCAAATAGCATTCCCACGACATGATGGCAATGTTCCAATATTTGAGGGGCTGCCACGGGGGGGGGGAAACCTATTTTCCAAGGCACCCGAAGCCAGACAAGGAATAAAGGATGGAAACTGAAGGAGGAGAGATTCAACCTTGGAGACATTTTCTGACAGTGAGAGCAATCAACCGATGGAACAGAAGTTGCCTTCAGAAGTTGTGGGTGCTTCATCTCTGGAGGCTTTGAAGAAGAGACTGGACAGCCACTTGTTAGAAATGATCTAGAGTCTCCTGCTTGAGCAGGGGTTGGACTAGATGACCTACCAGGTCCCTTCCAACTCTGTTATTCTGAATGGGTGATATGATGGCAGTCTTCCAGTACTTGAGGGGCTGTCACAGAGAAGAGGGGGTCGACCTAGTCTCCAAAGCACCTGAGGGTGGGACAAGAAGCAACGGGTGGAAGATCATCAAAGACAAATCCAAAAGGAGGACTTTCCTGACCGAACAACTTGCCTCCCATCGCTGGAGGTTTTTAAAATTCAACATTCATGTGACCAGGAAAAAGGGTTGGACGACTAGCCGTCCTCCAAGGTCCCTTCTTGACCTCTGAGTCTAAGCCCAGGATTTCCCCTCCTCCCGCTGCTGCCCTGACCGGCACTTCCTTTCCTGGGGGTGCAGGGCCCGCAGACCTCCTTCGGCAGCCCTACTTCGAGGTCCCCGGCGCCCTCCTCCAAAGCAGCGCCCGGCCTTCTGCCTTTGGAAGGTCAGCCCCGCCTGCCTGCTGGCCGACAACCGGAGCCAGGGAGCTGGCAGCCCCCGAGGGGAAGCAGAGGTTTGCTTATGCGGGCAAAGAAAGCAGGCGCTGGCCTCCGGGGAGGCTCCTCCGGCCCGGCTCACAGCAGCCGCGCTCTCCGGCCTCGCCCAGGCTCAGCGCCCGGCCCGGGCTGGGCTGGAGATCCGCCTCCGGGCGCCCGCTGCCGGTCCGCAGCCGCCGCCCTCCCTCCGGCCCCGGGCGGCAACGGCGGATCCCGCGGAAGGTGCTGAGGACAGCGGCGCCTCCCTGCCCGGGGCCGCGCCCGGCGCTCCGCTTGCCGCCCCCTCGCCCCCGCCGGGCCAGCCGCCCCTCGCCCCCGCCGGGAGGGGCTGCTCGGTCTCGGAAGCGGAAACGACGCCTCCCCCGACCCCCCCACCCCCCCCGCCCCGCCGCCATCGCCAGCCTTCCGAGAGCGGCGCTGCAGCTGCAGGTACCCGGGGCGGCCGGGCGGGCAGGGAGGCGGGGGCCGCGAAGTCTCCGGAGCGCCCGCCGGGGCTGAGCCTCGAGCGGTCGGGACGCGGGAGCGGCCGAGCTCCGGCAACGTCCTCCCCGCCGGACCAGGCGAGCCGCGGCCAGAGTCTCCCCGGTCCCGCCCGGCCACCTCGCCGCAAGGGCCGGCCTGGCCGGGAGGACGCGATGCCCGCGGCCGGCTCGGGCTGGGAAAGCCAGGCGGCCGCGCTCTTGGCGACCCTGTCAGCGGGGCGGGCAGAGGGTTCCGGGGCTTCGGGTGCCCCTTCGAGGCCGGCACGCAGGCCGGGGATGGGTGGCCCGGGGGGGGGGCTAGGTGGGGCCGGCGAGCGCCCCAGGCCTGTCCAGATGGCCTCTCTGGGCCCCAGGCCCGACGGCGAAAAGGAGCCGGCCAGAGTTCAGGGAAGAGCCCAGCCCTTCCTGGGGGAGGGGGCTGCAGGCCCTCCCAGGGGCTCAAGGAAGCGGCACCTTCTCCAGGGCCTGTTGGTGCCAGGGCCAGTCGGGGTCATTGAGGGTGGTTCCGGTTGGCGCGCCTAGAACAGGTCGCAAGGAAGCCAGAGGAAGCCAAGGCAACCCAAATAATCAAAGGGGATCAGCTGCATCGGTGGGGCTGGAATGGGCCAACTCGCCAGGGGACAATTGAACAATTTCATTATTTAAAATAAATCAAAAAATATTTTAATTTTTGCCATTCACATTTCATTTTTCCATCCTTTTGCATCGTTTCTTTAATGATTCTATTCCACCATTTCTTTGATATTAATGTAAGTCTTGTCCCGCAGCAAGTTGGCCGTGGCGAGTCAGCTGTGGAGGGTTGTCATAGACCCCCATGGGGCATTGACTGCCAAGGGGGTCCATCTCAAAGGCTCCATGTTGCTTCTGGATCGGAGAGGGAAGCCAGGCTGAGAGGGTCCCTGGCAGCATCTCCTGTCCCCCAAAAGCTTCAGTTTGGCCCTTGGGAGGAGGGGGCCAGCCAGCCAGGGCTGGGCTGATAGGCCACAGCGTAGGATGGCGCCACAGCCACTAACCTGAACTGCTCACCCGGGGAACCAGAGTGGCCCAGGGATGACTCATAGGCTCCCTGCTGCTTCTCTGCTGGGGCCTCCCAGGGGAAAAGGGCAAGACCAGAGCAGTCTTCTGGTTCTGCTGGAAAGCCCCCCTCCCCCACCCGGCCTCCTGTGGGCCACGGCAAGGCAAAATGGGTCTTATCCCCACCCGGGAGGCTGCCCTTAAGAGGTGGCACTTTGGAGGGCCTGGAGTCGGATTGGGTCCATCTAAGAGTTTCCCTCCAACTGCCAGGGGAAGGGAACAAATAACCCCCCCCCACCAGCCCTCAGCGACATCTGACTGCCCAGAGGAGACTCAGGAGACCAGACCAGGAGGGGCCCAGCCTGGTCCAGCTGAGCCCCTCCAGCCGCTCCTCTGTCCTAGGGCTGCCGGGGTGGACTGACCCCTGCCTCTCTGTGTTGCCCCCAGGAGCTGACTGTTGCCCGGCCTTCCTTGGACTGCCCCCCCCGGGTCCCCCCGAGGCATGTAGCTGCGCTTCTCTTCCTCTGGCCCAGGATTGGTAAGCACCTGCTGAGGTCTTGCAGGAGTCAGGTCTTGACTTGGGGGGCAGGGATGGGGGGCTTGTGAGAAGCAGTCCAGAACTTTGGCACTGAGGACGGGGTGGATGGAGAGGGTTTTCTGGACCTCAAGACTGTTCCTGCCTCTGATCTCTGACCCGCTTCAAAAATCGGTCTCCCGCTTTCATTCCAACAACGGAAGGCCAAGCTGGGCCCACCCGAACACTTTAGTTGGGTGACCAGATTAGATCCTTTCTCTACATGGCAGGCTATACTTACCAATCAAAGCCAGCCCTAACCAGGACCCTGCTGGCCTTGAGGGACCCCTTCCCCCCAAGGAGAGTGGTGAGGGGGTGCATGGGGGTCGGGGGCTCATGCGGGTTGCTCTCTCATGACGGGTCGCTTCCTCCCCTGCCCACCAGTCTTCCCCAGCGCCCAGCACCATGTCCAGCTCGCTGAGCAAGCGGAGCAGCCTGGCCAACGACAACGGCTGCCTGGGCCTGAGCCTGGCCTTGGTAGCCCCGCCGGGGGGGGCGGTTCTGCCACACAAGGGGCGGTGCGCCTACAGCTGCGGGGAGCTGCAGAGCATCTTGGGGCTGCCGCCCTCCACGGAGGAGCCCTCCAACAGCAAGTGGAGGAAGGAAGGGCAGAACCAGCTGCGGCAGGCGGTGGAGCGTGGCCGCGACCAGAACCGCAATGAACTGAGCCTTCCCAGCAAGGAGCTGAGCGCGCTACTGGTCCCTCTGACGGGGCAGGAGGGCAAGGGCCGAGCGGAGGACCCAGAGGCTGAGGAGGAGGAAGAAGACGAAGAGGAGGAGGAAGAGGAGGAGGAGGAGGAGGAGGAGGAGGAGGAAGGCTCCACCCCGGTCCAGAGTGAACCTGTGACTGAGTCAGAGCAGAGCTCGGAGCGGGCACTGCCTCGAGGGGAGCAAGGCCGCAGTGCCAGCCTCCTCTTTGCCACTCGCAACAGCACAGCCAGTGACGAAGATTCCAGCTGGGCCACGCTCAGCCAGGGCAGTCCGACTGGCAGCTCCCTGGATGAAGCCGGTAGGTGACTGGGGTGGGGGGGTGGGAAAGCACAGCAGATGGTAGGAGGGACCATCAGTGGCTTGCTGGAGGGGAGCCCAAAGGCAGAGAGGCACACTGCCACTTGTCTGTGCCAAGCAGAACCAGGTGGCTTGGACAAGTCACATGGGAGGAGGGAATGTGGGGGGAATCACCTCTTTCCTGCATGTTGAAACTGATATTTGGGAAATTTTAAGAGGGCAAGCGCAGAGGTTCTGGGTTGGGGGGTGTGCTAGGCAGCTTGGGGCTGCTTTCTAATATGCTCCCCTTCCCCCCCCCGTCAATTGGTGGTATTGCTCCTGCGCTGGCTTGGCTAGGCTCCGAAGGCCCCTGGGGGAGCAGTGATGTCAGCAGGTGCCTGGCACAGCTCCCACCCCTCAGCCCCAGGGACTGCCCAGTGCCCAGCAACCAGCCCTGGGATGCTCCTCTCTGATCCTGCGCCCTGCAGCTGTGGCTGTCTCCAGCAGCCTCCCACGGGAGAGGAGGCTTTCTACCCCCTCCCCGTTCTCCCCCCCCTTCCGTTCCTCTTAGCCCTGGGGGAGCCTGGTTGCTGCTGCTTGCCTAGCGAAATGCACTTTGCCTTGGAAGAGGAAAGAGGGCTTTCGGGCTGGACGGGGAGTGGGCTGAGCGACGTGGACTGGCAAGACGCTGGTGGGCCCTGGGGCTGCAGGGGGTGGGGGAGGGCCAGCTATTTTAATTATCCTGGGTTGAAGTCTGTGAAGCATTTATTTATGTCAGGCTGCAAGAATAGCTCCTGCCTGTTGCTCCCAGTAAAGGATCACCGGCTGACTGTGCTGCAGCTGGCCTTATTCTTGGGGTGGGGGTGGGGGAGCCGCTGAGTAGTGGGGGGGGGGGGGCTAGGTGGAACTGGGGAGGCCAGGGGAAGGAGGTAAGGAGCTTGGCAGGTGGGGGGTGTTAAAGGGAAATTAAGGACGACCTAATGGAATGATTGTACTTTTAATTTGTCTTTCTGTCTTATCCTGGGTGCAGAGAGGAAGCAGGGGCTGCGAGGGGAGGTTCCATCAGCAACAGAATGGAGGGGGGCGATTAGGGGACAAAATCCCTCCCTCCTTCCCTCCCTTTCTTGTGACTCTGATGCAACCCAGCCCCTCTTGCCTTGGTTTTGCCCCTCTCCCAGGGAAACATGACTGTCAGCTGGCCTTTGCCTTTGGGGTGGGAGGGGATTGTGGCTTTTCTGCTGGGGAGTGGAGTGGGGGTGACTAAGGAGGCTGGGGGCTCTTGTCTGCCTGCCCACTGCAGACCAGAGTTGCTGAAGAGGAGGCAGAGTTGGGGAGACTGGCAGGCTCTCGGGCGCCCTTTGGGGGTCAGTATGGAGGGCTGGGCTTGGTGTGGGGAGACCTGGCGGGATTTCCGGCAGGAGCCAGGGGTCCCTCTGCCACCTGTGGGGATGGACCAGGGCTGGCAGGGGGAGTTGAGAGGGTTCTCCTGCCTGGTTCCTCCCCAGCTGCCCTGGCTGATGGACAGTTTGGGGTCCAGTCACGCTGGGAGTGGGAGGGTTGGGGCAACAGCCACCGAATCCATGATCCCCGGCCCTGCCTGGGGCAGCAGTGCTTGGAGCACCTTGTGGCCCCGGAAGAGCCTCGTGCCAACGCTGCCTTGGCACAATTAATCCTGGGCCTTTGACACGGGCAGGCATGTATCCACATGGGGGGGGGGAGGGGGAGGGGAGAGTTGTGTGCCATGGCAAGAAGCAGGAACCGGCCTGGGTCCAGGAAGGCTCTTTCACGTCAGTCCCGGGGCCAAGGCAGAATCTCCCGGCCTTGAGGCTCAAGGCTCCCTGCAGGGGTGCCTTGAAACGTTTCTTCCCAGGCTGGGCTGAGCTAAATGGCCAGGAGACTCGCCTTCGCTCCCTCCCTCTGGCCTCCCCACCTCCACCATGGGGTGACAGGAATGGCATCCCCTCCTCCATGGGGTGGCAGGAGTGGCAAGGGATGGTTCCTTTCCAGCCATGCCCGCCCCGGGAGATGCCTTATCGGGGACCCCACTGCGGACCCCCACCCCAGCCTACCTCGCTCCTTCTTTTACCAGATTCCTTCTGGCTGTGTAACTCCCTGGAGACAGACTCTGACCTCCCAGCGGGATGGATGCGGGTTCAAGACACGTCCGGCACCTACTACTGGCACATTCCAACAGGCACCACCCAATGGGAGCCTCCCTTGTGCAGTGGGAGGGGCGACTCGGCAGGAAACACCCCCACCCGGGAGACCCAGGTAAAAGGCTAGGGGGCCTGGCTCCTTTCTGGCACAAGGGCCCCTCCTCAGATCCCTGGCCTTGGGTGTCCGAGGGGTTGGGCCAAAGGGGCCAGGGGACATCAAGAAGGGCCTCCAAAGCAGCCAACGGTTTACTTACTTATTTAGTTAGTTTTTATTTTTATCCAGCCCTTATTATTTATTATAAATAACTCAAGGCAGCAAACATACTCCTTCCTCCTCTTATTTCCCCCACCACCACCACCACCTTGTGAGGTGCATTGGGAGAAACTGACTGGCCCAAAGTTACCCAGCTGGTTGACTTTCATGCCTGAGGCGGGACTAGAACTCCCAGTCTCCTGGTGATTGGCCTGGTACCTTAGCCACTATACCAAACAGGTGACTCTGGGTCATAGCAGCCCCTTCCAGTAGTTGAAAGGTTACCCCAGGACTGGTGCTCAAGAGGGCAGGACTGGGCACCAGATACAGGATGGCAGGCACTGAGTGCCCTGGAGAAGGGGGGTGGGTGGGAGGGGGCTCCCGCCAGCAAGCAGGGCTACCTGTGAGGGCTCTTCCTTTGACTGGGAGGAGGGGCTTTGCCAGGGGTGGTTGTGTGAACGCAGCCAGGACATGGGAGCCTGTATTTCCACTCCGATAGCCTCATTCCAAGGGGAGCCTTTGCTGACCTCTCTGCAAAGGGGGAGGCTCCTGAGAAGCTTTCTACTCTGAGCAGCAGTCGGGCGTGTATGTGTGTGTGTGTGTGTGTGCATGCGTGCGCGCAGCTGGGAGCCTCTGGTGTCACTCTTCCAAGCCCCCTCCCCCCCCCGGTGCCTGTCAGGGCCTCCAGCGGCATCCCCCCCCTCCCCGCTCCAGCCAAGCAGCTCTGCATATGGCGCTTGGTGGCTATCGGAGGGAAGGAGGGTTTGCCTGGGAACCTCCTGCAGAGTCGCTGCGGTTCCTCTAAGCCTTGAAGGTGGGAGATGTGCTCCCCACTCACGGGGTGTGTGTGTGTGTGTGTGTGTGTGTGCAGTCCTTGTGCTCGTCCACTGCTCCTGGGGAGGCCTGGACTGAGCACAAGAGGGATCTGCCCACACAGGTCTGCTGGGCATGTTCCTTCCGGCAGGGAAAGATGGGTACTTTCCAGACCAGTTGCCCTGAGGCTGGGCGGAGACTCTCTGGGGCAGTGGCTGAAGGGCTCTTCTCTCTCCTGGCAGGGAACGGCCCCAGGGAAGCCCCCACTTCCCCTCTCACTGCAGTTGGTTTAGTGATTAAGGCCCTCCCCCTCCCCGGCTAGAAACCAGGAGATGGGGAGTTCTAGTCCTGCCTTGGGCACGAAAGCCGGCCGGGTGGATGGTGACCAGTCCCCTTCTCTCAGCCCAATCCAGCTCGCAGGGTGGTGGTTGTAGGGAAAACAGGAGGAGGAAGGAGTGTTAGGTATGTTCGCTGCCTTGAATTATTTATAATAACTGAAATATATTTATAACAGCAAGGCAGGATAAATACTGTATGAGTAAAATGATTTATTTATTTATTTATTTATTGCGATTTATATGCCGCCTTTCTCCCTAGGGACTCAAGGCGGCTTACAAAATGATAACTTCAATACAAATCACAATACAATACCAAATTAAAATCAGTAACCCAATTAAAAAACGATTTAAAATTATACCAGTGTACCCCCAAACGGATCAGTTTAATTGGCGGAAGAGCCACGTCTTCAGCTCGCGATGGAAGGAAAGAAGGTCGGGGGCTGTCCTGAGCTCAGTGGGCAATCCATTCCAGAGGGTCAGGGCTCCCACAGAGAACGCCCTCCCCCTGGGGGTCGTCAGCTGACATTGTTTGGCCGACAGCACCCTGAGGAGGCCGACTCTGTGAGAGCGCACAGGACGATGGGAGAACGGCTGGAGATGGTCCTGCAAGTACCCCGGGCCTAAGCCATGAAGGGCTTTATAGGTGAGCACCAGCACCTTGAAACGTATCCGGAGTGCCACCGGTAGCCAGTGCAGCTCACGCAGGAGAGGTGTTACAAGGGAGTATCTAGACGCCCCCGTAACTACTCGCGCGGCTGCATTTTGGACTAGCTGAAGCCTCCGGACACATCCCAAGGGCAGCCCCATGTAGAGGGTGTTACAGTAGTCCAACCTAGAGGTAACAAGGGCGTGAGTGACCGTGGCGAGGGCATCCCGGTCTAGGAACGGGCGCAACTGGCGCACAAGACGGACCTGTGCGAAGGCCCCCCTGGTTACGGCCGTCAGATGGTCATCTAAAGACAGCCGAGAATCCAGGAGGACACCCAAGTTGCAGACCCTATCGGAGGGAGCAAGGGTTTCACCTCCGATCATTAAGGATGGAACCTCCAGATCGCGGGATGCCGGCATCCACAGCCACTCAGTCTTGGAAGGGTTGAGTCTAAGCCTGTTCCTCCCCATCCAAACCCGCACCGCTTCCAGGCAGTGGGACATCACGGAAAGGGCATCCCTAGGGTGGTCAGGGGTGGAAATGTAAAGCTGGGTATCATCAGCATATTGATAATACCTCACCCCAAAACCACGGATGATCTCACCCAGCGGTTTCATATAGATATTAAAGAGCAGAGGAGAGAGAACCGAGCCCTGAGGCACCCCACAAGTGAGAGGCCTCTGGGAGGATCCCTGACCCCCGCCCAAACAGACTGCAGACAGCCCAAGAGATAGGAGGAGAACCACTGTAAAACAGTGCCTCCTAACCCTATCTCCCTGAGCCGCTGCAGCAGGATACCATGGTCGATGGTATCGAACGCCGCTGAGAGGTCAAGAAGGACCAGGATGGAGGAGCAATCCCCATCCCTGGCCCGCCAGAGATCATTTACTAGGGCGACCAATGCCGTTTCCGTGCTGTGGCCACGCCTGAAACCAGATTGGTAAGGATCCAGGTAGTCAGTTTCCTCCAGGAATTGAGGGAATTGCTGTGCCACCACGGACTCAACAACCTTCGCTAAAAAGCAGAGGTTGGAGACTGGACGGTAGTTGTTAAGTACGTCAGGATCCAGGTTAGGCTTCTTCAGGAGAGGTCGAACCACCGCCTCTTTAAGCGCAGCGGGAAAGACCCCTTCCTTTAGTGAAGCGTTGACAATAGCCTGGATCCAGTCTCCAGTCACCTCCCTGGCTGCCGAAACAAGCCAGGAGGGACAAGGGTCCAGTAAACATGTGGAAGACCCCAGCCTACTCATAATCCTGTCCACGTCATCCAATGAAACAGGCTCAAACTCAACCCAAGTGTCTCCACCGAGACTAGGCCCTGTCACCTCAACAGACTCTGTCCAGTCGGAGTCCAACCCGGTCCGAATCTGAGTGATTTTATCTTGCAGAAACTGTGCAAAGTCCTCAGCACAGCCCTGTAAGGGGTCCTCCCTCGCTCCCTGATTAAGGAGGGAGCGGGTCACTCTAAACAGGGCTGCTGGGCGATTTTCTGCAGATGCAATGAGAGTGGCGAAATAGTTACGTTTCGCTACTTCCATCGCCACAAGATAAGACCTAATATGGGTTCTTAGTTGTGTTCGGTCGGACTCGGATCGGGAGGATCTCCAACCACCCTCCAGGCGTCTTTTCTGACGCTTCATTTTCCTGAGCTCCGCGGTAAACCAAGGAGCCGCCCGGGATCTGCATCAGATCAGAGGCCGCAAAGGCGCGATTCGATCCAGGGCCCCCACCGCAGCCTGTTCCCAGGCCGCAACAAGGGTCTCAGATGAATCGTGGGCTAAGGAGGCGGGAAATGACCCATGCTCCATCAGGAAACTTTCGGGTTCCATCAGGCGCCTGGGGCGGAACCATTTTACTGGTTCCGCACCCCTGCGACGGGAGATGGCAGAGGAAAAGTCGAGTCTAAGGAGGGAATGATCGGTCCATGACAGAGGGTCAATAGATAGAGTCCCCTCCCCACGATCATTTATCCACTGTCCAGAGAGAAAAATAAGGTCGAGTGTGTGTCCTCCAATATGAGTTGGGCCCTGTACAATCTGAGTCAGGTCCATGGCCGTCATGGAGGTCATGAACTCCCGCACCAACTCAGATGACTCACCGGCCGATGGCAGATGATAAATAAATGATAAATGATAAAAAAAAATGATAAATAAAAAAGAATAAAAGAAATTGGCAGGTTTTTTATACCCTCAGGGCAGAGCAGAGCAGAGCAGAGCAGAGCAGAGCAGAGCAGAGCAGAGCAGTAGGAGGGGGCTGCCAACAGGACTTTCTTAGAAGCCGGGTGGGGTGGGGTGGGTGGGGTTGGGGTAAGGGCTGGCGCAAGGGAGATGTGGAGAGCCAGCTTGGTCTGAGCTGGGCTGCCTAGCAGGGGCGGCTGGAGGAGGGCTTCTTGGTCCCAGGAGAGCCACGAGGGGGGAGTGTCAGGATGTGCACATGGAAGGAAGAAGGAAGGGGTGTCCATGGGCGAAGGGCTCTCTGTTCACCCCGCTCCTTCCCTGCAGCACACCTGGATGGACTTTGGGCAGACGGACCCAGCCCCTAATCCAGACTTCTGGAAGGTGAGTGGCTGCCTGGGCTGTGGGGGCGCAGAGGCACGAGGGAGGGGCTTCAGCTGCTCCTCATGGCTTTCCTCCCCCAGGAGGTTCCGCCGGAGGGGGCAACCCCCCAGTCTCAGTCGGATGAGGGCCCGCCCAGCTCAGCCTTGGGATCTCCCGTCATGCGGTGAGTGTGTTTGTGGGCGTGTCTCGTGGCTGTGGTCCTGGGAGAGGCTCTCCCTCAAGGGTCCGGCATAGCTCAGAGACCCTGTGGAGCCCCAATCTGGGCTGGTCCCCACCCGCCAGCATCCCTGCATCAAAAACCGCCTGGCACCTTCCTGACAAATCACATCAGAGGGAGGGAGAAAGGATGTGAAGGAGGGTTTGGGGCACTGCCAGGTCTCTTTTGTTCCCCCTTAGGGGGCATCAGGCTGTGTCTGCAAAGCTGCAGCATGTGGGGTTTGGCCTGAGGAGACTGGGCTGCGGGTGGCCCCTGGGTGGTGCTGGGGGAGCATGTTGAAGAGGCAGCCCAACCGATAGCACCCTGGGCCGTTTGTCTTCCAGGTCTTCCCTGGAAGCAGGAGGGGAGGAAGCAGCCGGGCTACTGGGCCTTTCCCCGGGATCGAAGGTAAAGCTGCCTGGTGCCACGAGGATGGCAGGCTGGCTTCTGATCCCCTTGCAGGAGGAGGCCCTCCTCAGCCCCCCTCCCACCCCCGGATGGGGAGGATCCAAAAGCCTCAGGGAGCAGGAATTGGGTCAGATGCTCCAACCTTCACGAATAATGGCACAGCTGCCTGGCAGAGGGTCCTGAGGAGGGGAGGCTCCAGGGAGGGAGCCCTGGTGCCCCCTCCTAGGCATTGCCCGGGGCTGCCCCTGGGTTTCCTCTGCCGCCACTTTCACCCGGGGGAGGGGAGATCTTCAGCCTTGCATCCCCAGACACACACGTCTTCACTGCTTCCCACAGTGCTTCTCTGTCCACTCGCTGGGCTGGGTGGAGATGGCCGAGGAGGAGCTGGCCCCCGGCAGGAGCGCAGTGGCCGTCAACAACTGCATCCGGCAGCTGGCCGGGCAGGAGCCGGCCCTGGGGGGCTCCTGGATGGAGGTGAGCGGCTGGTGGGGCGGCCAGGGGAGCAGCCAGACGGGCGGGTGGGGTGGGGGCTAGGCTTCTGGGGACTCTGGGCCAGCTGAGGGAGGAGAGCCCTGGTGGGCCTGAGGGAGAACCGAGCGGCAGCTCTCCCCCATCCACCCAGGGTAAGGCCATGCTGCTGGTGCTGGAGAAGGAACTGCTGAAGCTACTGGAGCCCCAGGAGCGGAGGGAGCTGCACTGCCTGCCCATTGCAGCCATCCGGGTCTGGGGCGTTGGACGGGACAGTGGAAGGTAGGCAGCCATGGTGCCAGAGGGCTGCTGGGTGGGGGTTTCCCTGGAGGATCCTTTGCCCAGGCCAGGTGAGCTCCCAGTTGGCCCCCCTCCTGGCCGTCGCTGCTCCACAGGAGGCCGGTGGCGGCTGAGCCCCCTGGGAAAATGCGACCTTTGCACACTTACATCTCTTGCACGCAGGAGAAATGTCCCCCTTGTGGGGTGTCTGGGGAAGCCGTGCCTACATCGGCTAGCAGTTGTGCCAAGACCTCTATTGCCTCTCAGGCTGGCCCAGCAGTGAGGCTGGGGTCTCCTCTCAGCCTGGGGGCTGTGCAGATCTGCAGTCTGAACCAGCTACTTCTTTGGCTACCTCTGCGGGAGAGTTCCACCCCCTCTAGTTTCGGGTGGGGGTAGAGGCTCCCCATGTACGGCCTGGAGACCTCCTGGACACATCCTACTCGATGCGGGGGGAGTGGGGGCAGGTCTTCCCAAAGGCCAATCCAGGTCCGTGTGTGTGTGTGTGTGTGTGTGTGTGTGTGTGTAGCTGGCCTCTGCCTGGGGCCTTGCTGCTGCCACTGGCTGGCTGCCCCCTCCTCCACTTGGTCAGAAGGAAAGCTGAGCGACTGATGGGTGCCCGTGGGGGTGGTGGTATCTGTGGGCTCTATTTGAGAAGAAAGGGGGCTGTCATAATCGGACCAGTGGCCTGGGGAGTGGAGGCTGTCCTGCCCCCTGCTAATCCTCTGGTGCCCGCCCTTCTCTTCCTTTGCTTCGTCTCGGGACCCAGGGAAAGGTAAGCCCTGCATCCCCCCCCCTCAGCTACAGCTTCCCCTGATGGGAGGAACATCGGAATGGCCAGCCCTGGCGCCCACTTGGCAGCCTCCCCACCTGCCCGCTGGAGAGGCTTTGCCCAGCACTGACCTGGCATCCCGTGCCCTGCTTTCCGACCCTCTGCCTCCCCTGCAGGGAGTTTGCCTACGTGGCACAAGACCAGTTGGCTCAGATGCTGAAGTGCCATGTCTTCCGGTGCGACAGCCCTGCTAAGAATATTGCCACCAGCCTCCATGAAATCTGCTCCAAGGTCAGCCCCCCCCTCTTCCTTGGGGATCTCTGGTGCTTGGCCCTCTCCCTCCCGCCTCCTCCGGAGCATCCCACGCAGCTCCTGGGAAGGTGGGCACAAGAGGCAGCCTCCCTCTGGGGTCAGGCACCATCCTCAGACCCACTGCACCCCCCCAAGTCCTAAGGCCATGGGGCTTGCAGGATTGTGGAGGCGGCCTGATGGCCACTGGGGGTGATCTTCTCCTCTCCTCTAGATTGTGACAGAGCGGCACAGCGCCCAAAGCTTGCTCAGGGGGCTCTCCCTGGACCCGTCCAAGATGGTGGAAATCCCCTTCCAAGGTAGGGGATGGGAAGGGCAGGAAGGCCGGGAGGGAGGGGTCTTGGGGGTGCTCCTTGCCTTCAGTCCCTGGGCTGCAGGTGGGGTGCGAAGCTCTCGTGTGGAGGGAGGGGGCTCATCAGGGGGTCCCTCAGAGCCTGCACCCACCCTGGGGTTTTTGGCAGGAGGGCAGCCATTCAGGTTCAGGTAAGTCCTCGGCTTACAACCGTTATTGAGCTTGTCAATTAAGGGTGTAAGTTGTGACAGTCATAGAGTGAGCCATCATGCAACTGATCTGATTTTATGACTCATTGTGGCAATTGTAAAATGACTGCAGGGGTCATTAAGTGAACCCACTAGTCACTAGAAGGAAGCGTCCAGAAAGCGCTCGTGTGACCATGGGGAGGGGGGGGGAGATGTGACATTGGAACTTTGAAATGCGGGGGGTGTGTGTTGTCTCATGATTTTGAACGGTTGCTAATCCGTTGTAAATCGAGAACTCCCTGCGGACTGCCCTTTGCTCCCTCTTTCTTTTCTCCAGTTGAGTTTCCGGCACCCAAAAGTGAATCAGTCCAGAAATTCCAGGTTTACTACCTGGGGAGCATTTCCGTGGCCAAGCCTGTGGGTAAGAGAGGCGTGGGGAGAGGTGGGGCAGAGACCCCGAGAGGCGGCATCCCAGGGGACCGGCAGTGGAAAGCAGGAAGGGTAGCAACCTTGACCAATTTCATCTTGACCACCTCCTCATGAGACCCCAAAATGCAGCGGCCCCCAACCTTTCTGGCACCCGGGGCAGCAGCAGGCAGCAGTGGCTTTGCATGCTTGCCCGCTGCTTGCGTGGCCCAGTTCCCAACAGGCTACGGGCCGGTCCCGGTCCACAGCCTGGGGCGGTTTGAGGACCCCTGCTCTAAAGGACCTATCCTTTCTTCGACAGTTGTCCTGCTAGTATGACCAAGGAGACCCTCCTCGGCTTCCTCCGCCCCTTCCCCGTGTCTGGGCGCTCATCAGCCCCTGGGTTGCATGTCCCTTCCTTCCACCCTCCCTAGACACGGCCACCTTGGGGAGGGGGGCTCTTTCTGCTGAATTGCCAGGATCTTTGACCTCCTGGGCTTCCCCAAAGGCATGACTCCGAAAGGGAGGGTCAAGGGCTTCCCCCTTGTTGGAGGGCCCAGGCCAGCCCGGGTGGAGATGCTCTGCTTCTCCCTCACCCCCAGCGGATCCCCAAAAACCGGAACCATCATCCTGGCTTAGCCGTTGTTGGGGCCCCCGGGGGCCCTGCCTTGCTGCTCTTCCCACCAGGACCGGGCTTAATCACAAGCTTTGGGCCCTCGCCTGCCCTGGTGAGGCCGTTCCTGCCTTTGCTTCTCCAGGCATGGAGGTCATCAACAGCGCCCTGGAGGCGGCCCTGGCATCTGGCAGCAAGGAGCAGTGGGCACCCGCTCAATTCAGCGTGGCACCAGCCACCCTCACCCTCACCCATCAGCAGGTAAGGACGTGCTTGGCGGGGGCAGCTGGGGATGAGCTCTTGAGAGTCAGGGATGGGGAAGCCCTGGGAGGGGCCAGAGCAGGCAGCTCCTGCTCTGTGGGTCTGTCCCGACTCCCGCCTTCCCTACAGACTGACACCGTGCTGTGCGAGTGCCGCGTGCGCTTCCTCTCCTTCATGGGCATCGGGAAGGACGCCCGCTCCTTTGCCTTCATTATGGCTGCGGCTGCCAGCAGCTTCTCCTGCCACATGATCTGGTGCGAGCCCAACGCTGCGGGGCTGAGCGAAGCCGTTCAGGCCGCTTGCATGGTGAGTTTGAGGCGCTCCTGTTCCTCCTCCTCCTCCTCCCTCCCCCCCCCCCGCTTAGCAGAGGCTCTGCCACGTTGCCAAAAGCTGACTTTGCCAGCTCTGTGAAATCTGCTGGCTGGCCATTCCTGCACCCCCCACCGAGCAGTCCGTCCCACCAGTGCCTAACCTCCCACAGTCCATCCGTGCCCTGCTGTAGAAGGCCGGATCGCAGGGCATGGCTGGGAGGATCCTGTGCCCCAGATGCCCATATTGGCACTGATGCCCCGTCACCCGCTCATCCCTCCTTTTCAGCTTCGCTACCAGAAATGCTTGGATGCGCGACCCCAGTCCACCGGCAGCTCCTGCCTCCCGGCCCCTCCTGCTGACTCCGTGGCTCGCCGCGTGGGCTCCACGGTTAGGAAGGGCATCCAGGCCCTGCTGGGGACTCTCCAACCCAAGCACCAGGGGTCCCAGACGCCATGAGCTCCAGGCAGGAGAGAGGGGCACCTGCCTGCCCACCTGGACCCTCCGTGCCAGCAGTGCCCCTGGCCTCTGCCAGCCTCGCAGCTCTTGGCTTGCCCTGGTGCACGGTGCGTGTGTGTTCTGCATGAGTGCAAGGTGTCTATTTATGAGGGATGCGTGGATCTCCGCAGGCGCGTGACCTTCATGCCAGTGGCAGAAGGGAGGGAGGAGGAGGAGGGCTCCTCTTTGGGCAGCTGTACTGCGGCTGCCAGACCTGATCCCTTCCCCCACCAGCCTCTCCCCCACCCCAGGCCCTGGAATTAGCTGCTGCAGAGGACCTTGGTGGCATCTGGCCACGCATTGGGGAGGGGTCAGGGTCCCAGCAATCTCCCCATTTGGCCAGGAGCAGAGGGGGTGGGTGGGGGAGCTGCTGCCTCTGCTGTTTGTCTTGTACTAACCCACAAATAAACTCTGTTCCAACGACCCCCGTCCATCTCTGGCGTGGTCTTGTGATGGGAGGGGGGAGCTGCCAACATCCCTCTCCCCACCCCAGAAGCTGCTGGAGTCCATCATCTGGGGATGATGGGTGTCTGGCAGGGCTAGGGAGTGCACTGGTGGTCTGATGGGTGCAGGACAGCCTCCCGTGCCCCTCCCAGGATATGGCATAGGTAAGGCGGAGCTTTCTCCTCCCTCCTGCCATAGGGAAGATGTTGTGCCCATGTCTCCCTGTCCTCTGGCCTTGGGGGCAGCCAGCTGGTCACGCATGGGAGAGCGAGCCCAGAGGATCCAGGCGAGCTGCTGGGTGAGAGAGGAGCCTTCTGCCAGTGGAGGAAGCCGTTTATTGCCGGGCGAGGGAGGAACAAAAGAGAAGAGGGGTGCCCCCTGCCTGCTGAGGAATCTCATGCTGGCAGAAGCTGGGCCGAAGAGTCTGAGAACGGACCCTGCCTGGTTTAGCAGTGCAGCTCTGTGGAGAGTCCTGGCAACAGCCCCCAGCATCCCCGGCTGTTTGGGCATCTGCTCCTCCTCTGCGGATGGCACTTCAAACATGGGGGCAGCAGGTTGTGCATGTCTTGCAGGCCTGCTTTTCATGCCCACACACAGGGGTGGAGCAGGGGTGGAAGAGAAGAAGCTGCCAAGCAATAGAGGGGAGCTGCAGAGGGAAAGAACAGCCAGGGCACCCCACCCTCTCTTAAGAGTCTTGGGGCCATGGCCGGGCCTTTTCCACATCTCAGGGGTGTGATTTGGAGGGCTGTGAGGGCTTGTCTGGAACTTGAGCCCCATGGAGTGCCCGAGAGAAGGGACACCATGTTGTGCCCATGCCCACAGAGCCTGCTGGAGCACAAGGCCACTGCATCCCTTGGAACTCCGAGGCCTCAACTTGGCCCCCAGCTAGCAGAACCTCTGTTGCCACCACCAGGCCTGGATTTCTGGGAAGGGCAGCTTAAGGGTCTGGCAGAGTTTGGGATCGGCTGCCCGGCCGGTGCGGAGAGCGCAGAGCGTGGCCTTCCTGCAGGCATCCCCGCAGGGCTTGGCAGGCGGGTGGCCCTTGAACCTCAGGTACCAGAAGTGCTGGAAGAGCCGCTCGTCAGCCTGCAGGCGGTCCAGGAGCCGGTTCCAGTCCTCCGGGAAGGCCACAGGCAGCCCATAAGTCTCCCGGGCCCCATAGAGGCGCTGCCACCGAGCCACGGCACCGGGCTGGTTCGCCTGCGTCAAGTTCAAGATGAACGTCTCGTGGTCAAGGACCATGTAGGAGCTGCCAGAGCGGATCCCGTCCACGTGGTAGATCCGGTACCCTGGAAGGCAGGCAGGGGTTACTGGCTCAGTTCAGGAAGGGCCCCTTGCAGCAGACAACATGGGAGGGAGGGAGGGAGCAGAGGACAGCAGCACCTCACCTGGGTTGAGTTTGATGTAGGTGGTAACACTGGGAGCCAGGAAGGCAATGCCCACCGGCCGGGAAATGGTCTCCTCGTCGTAAAAGATCTCAAACCCGTCCAGGTGAGTGTGGCCAAAGAACTGCCCGGCTACCGTGCCCTCAAACCTGCAGGGAGAGATAGGGCTGAGCAGGGGCTGCCCAGTTTTGCCCCGGCTGGGCAGCTAAAACGGGCTGAGCAGGAATCCAGCCTTGTGTTGGGTGCCCTGAAGATTGGGGGGGGGGAGAAGAGGCACCCCCGGGAACCCGAGCACCACAGCTTGGCCTCCCTCTGAGAGAGCCGAAACCACAAGGCTGGCAAGGAGGCAGCCAAGTCTCAGCCCGGGCCCTGAAGGAGACGCCCAGGAGGTCAGCAGGGACCCCCAGATGGGGAGATCGTTCCCCATTCAAGGATGCGACTGGCTCCATGGCAAGCGAGCAGAAGCCTTTCCTTGGTGTGCAATTGTGCAGCACTGTTGGTGCCCAGGGCATAACCAGCCTGGCGTGAGGCCTTATCAAGGGTGGCCGGAGAGAGCTGGCCTTGCCCAACCACGAAAGGCTGAGCAGAGCTGGGCCTGCTGGTGACCAGACTGGAGACCCACCAGGAGCCCCCAAATTTGTAGAGTGGAGTACAGAATTGAAAGCCTCCCCAGAAAGCAGTCAAGAGGCTCTGAGTTTCTGGTGATGAGCAAGGAGACAGGGTGGTATAAGGCTCCAGCAGGGAGTTGGACTAGATGATCTCTAGGGTCCCTTCCAGTCCTAGGATTCTATGTTTTAGAGAGTCGTCAGGAGCTGGTCTGGGCCTGGGAAGCCCCCCCCTCCCAGCAGGCCCTTCTGGGGGTTATCTAGGCTGTGGTGCACATACACCCCCCCCCCCCCCCCAGGAAGAGAGAGCCATGAGAGCCTGAACCATGAGAACTCAAACCATGGCTGGCATTAAGGAACCTTTCCTCATGCAAAGGCAGCAGCTCAGCCTTTACCTGACCTGCTACCTAGGTTGTGTGACAAGGCTCGAATTCCATCCACCCCAAAAACTTCCCCAGATACAAAACATTTTCTCATTAGCTTTGGGAATGGAAGCCCCTCCCTGACTGCTCCCCCGCCCTTCAGGAATCATCCAGGAAACCTTCTGGGGGATTTGATGGGCTGCTCACCCAGCAAATCAGAGCAGCAACAGCTGTGACCCACGGCTGAGCCTGGGGCAGCTGAAGCAAAGTTAGTGATGGGGGGAGGGGGGGGGCTTAGCCAGTGACCGTCTTTGGAGGGAGGAGAGACTCATCCAGGCTGGGACGGGCAAGAGGCACTGGCCTGCGGGAGTCTCTGCAGTCAGCCTGGCACAAGCACTTGCTGGGGACGCCACTTGCACGGGTGCCAGGCTGGGCAGGGCAGGGCAGGCAGCTGGCACTTCGTACCTGTTGATGATGTGGTAGTAATTCCAGCCCCAGCTCCGCAGGCAGTGGGAGGGCGGGATATGGCCGATGATGTGGACCTGCAGAAGGGGGAGGGGGGGTTGTCAGCAGGGGCAGCAGCAAGGGCACCCACCGGAGACGGGTGCTTTCCTCAGGCTCCCCGCTCGCTCTTTGCCCTGCTTCTGAGGAGATCACCTCATGTTCCGGGAATGACCTGGCCCAGTTCCTGCCCAGTGCCACCCCTGCCCGCCCCGGCTCACCTTCTCGCCACTTTCCTCGGCCTTCTGCAGGATGCCCACCAGCCACTGGAGCTGCCCGGCTGGGTCAGTGGAGTTGATCAGGAGCCAGAAGTTGGCCTCAGAGCAGAAGTTCATGTTGAGGGAAACCAGGCGGAGGCCCCGCCAGATGGGGAGGGTGTAGAAGCCCCCCAGCCTGCCAGGGTGAATGCAGGAGAGTCTCAGGGACGGACAGCCTCTCAGAAATCCCGCCTCCACTCCCCCACCCCGGTGGCCCCAGGGCCCTGCCTCTCCCGGGAGAATCCAAGGGGGCCAGCACCCTTGGGGAGGGTCTCCTTCGTCCCATCGCCATCAGCCAGACCGCAAAACCTTCCGTGATGGAGCCCCCATGCCTCCAGAGCACCTATGGCAACTTCAACTCCCAGAATCTCAGCCAGCAGAGCAAAGCGCAGAATTCTGGGAGCTGAACTCACAGTTCATACAGTTGCCTTAGTCTCCCAGCTCTGTCTGTGCCCCGGGGCAGAGGCCGCCTGACTGGTGCCACGGGGCTTTGCCACCGCTGACGCCCAGGCCGAAAAATTCTTAGCCAAGCAAAGGAGGCGGCCTTCCCTCCGAAGAGGCAGGGCTCCCGTCTCACAAGCAATTTTAACCCTGCGGGCCAGGAGCGACTTTCCTCTCCGATGGAAACACGGCAGAATTAAGCAGCTCTTTGGGCCCCATCCTGACCTCCCCCCCAAAGAAAGCCAGCTCCCACTGATGAGGCTGCCCAGTTTGGGTCACGAAACGGCTGCAAGGAAACAACCCAGCTCAGGGAGCACCTGGGACCTTTCAAAGGCGGCTTTGCACATTGCAGAAAAGTCTGCAGGACGGTCACAAAAACAGCCCAAGCTGCCTCACAGGGCGGCTGTTATGGGGGAAATAGGCAGAGATAATAGATACGTTTGCTGCCTTGAGAGGTTTATAAAAATAATAGGGTGGGATATAAATGAAACAAATAAAAGCTCTCTGTAGGCAACAATGCAAGGGCAGAGGGAAGGGGAAGAAAATACCACATACGCAACAACCCCACAGGAGACCCTGGCTTCAAATCTCTAGTTTCCATAGCATTCAAGGTGCTTTTAAAGCGGGTGCGTCCAACCGTGGCAACTTTTAAGACCTGTGGACTTCAACTCCCAGAATTCCCCAGCTGGGCAGATGAGGAATTCTGGGAGTTGGGAGTCCAGGGGTCTTAAAAGTTGCCACGGTTGGACAGCCTTGTTTCAAAGCATCTCCTGAGCCTGGCCACAGAAACGTAGCAGCAGCAGCAGCAGCAGCAGCTGTGAGGCTCTTCCTGGTGAACCCGGCAGCCCTAATTCTCACGCCTGGCTAAGCCAGATGTTTTGCTGAGCGCGAAGGAAGGCAACTGCCGGAGCGGCTGGCTGCTTTGCAACAACATCCAGCCCAGGAAGAACCAGGAGAGCAGGTTACACCCAGCCCAGTCAGGACTGCAGCAGAGGCAAAACTTTCTTGCCACGAAAATCAATCAATCAATTTGATTTCTGTGGCCACCCAGCTCAGGCAAGTGACTTGTGGGTGGGGTGGGGGCTTACAATTCTAACATCCAGAATCCTGGAGTTTGGCTCCACCAGCTGGCCTTCCTCCCAGACAGCTGTGGTTATGGGCAGCAAAGAGGGAGGGAGGGAGGGAGGAAATGAAATAAACATCAGAGCTGCCAGGGGGAGGGAAAGAAGGCCACTGGAGTCAGGCGGCAGGTGAATTTTATTTATTGTTATTATGTCTTGGTAGCACCCAGGGCAGGTCCCTGCCAAGGCCACCTGGAAAATGGGGAAGGGGGAGTGAGGATCTGGTTCCCAGAAAAGGTGGGGGAGAGCCCAGCCTGGACCCCCAGGAGAGTAAATCACCTGGGTCTGCAGGGCAGAGGGCACCCTGGCCAAGGCTGCTCTGCCCCCACTTGAGGAGGCCTCCTGACATCCCTCAGGCAGCCTTCCTTTCCCCCCCCACCCTCCTTGCCTTCCTGGTGCCCCCTGCCCGCCAGACCCTTGCTCTTACCTCAGGGTTTGCAAGGCTTCGGGCGGCAGCCACTGCTGCCAGGCGTTGGCCATGGCATCGTACAGCCAGGCGGAGGACTGGTTCCCAGGCACATAGGGCGGGGGGAAGGCATTGACGGGAACCGATTCGTGGTTGCCCACCGCCGGGTAGACGGGCAGCGGCCCCAGGTACTTCTGGATGAGGCTGGTGATGGTGGTGAGAGCGTACAGCTGGTCTTGGCGCGTCTGCTGCCAGACGTTGTGAGCCGGGATGTCGCCCGTCCAGTAAGCGGCATCGAACGGCCCGGCAGACGCCAAGTGCTGCAGCAAGTTCTCCAGGGTGTGGAGGGGCAGGTCGCATTTGCTGTAGGAGCCCCAGTAGCCGGCCCCAGGGCCACGCGGCTGCCCCCCCCGGCAGCAGAGGGGGTCCTTGCAGTCGGGGTCGCTGCCCGGGGTGTACTGCCGGTCCCAGTGCAGGTCCGTCAGGAAGAGCAGGCGGGCCGTGGGGGCGCCGGGTGGAGGGGGCACCAGAGGCTGCAAGGGTGGCTTGGGGGTCTTGGGCAGGGTGACGTTCCAGCTGGAGTAGATGTCCCAGTGGCCGCACTGGGTGCCCACCAGCAGGCCGCAGATCTCAGCCGGGCGTAGGACGGAGCGGACCCAGGCGGTCACCAAATCTTGCCCAAAGATACGGATGATCTCCCGACACACCTCGGGGGGTGCCAGCTTCAGTGTCACGCAGACCTTGGCCGCCAGCTGCTGGATGTGCTCCACGCTGGTCTCCAGCTGCGAAGCAGAGGGGTGGAGTTAGCATTGGGGGGGAGGGCAGGGGCTGGAGAAGCACCCTTGAAATGTCCCAGAAAAGAGAGGCTGGAGGAATCTCCCTGCCTGACGCCTTAGCTGTCTCTCATCTCCTACGTTCCTGCCAGGGTCCTCCTGGCATGGAGTCCCTTGGGGTGGGGGATAGGCTCTGGTGTGGGGAGACCCGCCCCTGTCCCTGAAGTCCACTTCAACCACCAAGAAGCGCAGGAGCAGCCCCCTTGTGTGATAAGAAAAGCCTCCGATAGGCCAGCTGGCTTTTCCCTGCACTTAGCCATGTGCCCTGCCCCGCCAAGGCCGGAAGTGAAGTGAAGGGCCCTCCGCGAGCCCTCAGCTGGAGCCTCTGGACTGCCCAGGCTTCCCCCAAGGCCCCCAGCCCCTCTCAGCAGAAGAGCAGGTCGTACACAGGGGCCGCAGTTCTCCATCCCCCCTGAACAGCCAGCCCCAGCCCCAGCCTTGGTCCTGATGCTCGCTTGGGCCCTGGAGAGCCAGCTGAGCTGCCAGAGCTTCCTGGAAGGGGTCCGAAGGAGACTCAGGAGGCCAGCCTACCAGAGCCAGCCTACCAGATAAGGAGGAGGGAAAGTGTCACCCAGCCTGTTGTGCAATCAGAGGCCAGCGCTTTGTGCCACGGCTGCTGCCTCTACAAAGGGCTGTAGGCAAGGGGCAGCCAGGCAGCTGAAAGGAGCTCAGCAGATATTCTGGATCTCCTCTGGGTCTCCTTTTCCTGCAGCAAAGGGAGGGGGAAACCAGCTAAATAAGGCCTGCAAGAGGAGAGGTCTGAAGCAGCCCCTCCTCCACTCCACCCTCCTCACTGGATCGCCCTCCCAATTTGGAGCTGTGAAAATATTGCATGTTGTTGTTAGTCGGGAAGTTGTGTCCGACCCATCACAACCCCATGGACAACGTTCCTTCAGACCTTCCTGTCCTCTACCATCCCCTGGAGACCATTTAAGCTCACGGCGGCTGCTTCAGTGACTCCATCCAGCCACCTCGTTCTCTTTTTGCCCTCAATCGTTCCTAGCATTAGGCTCTTCTCCAGGGAGTCCTTCCTTCTCCTTAGGTGGCTAAAGTATTTGAGTTTCCTCTTCAGGATCTGGCCTTCTAAAGAGCAGTCAGGGTTGATCTCCTCTAGGACTGACCGGTTGGATGGCCTTGCCAGAGTCTCCTCCAGCACCAGAGTTCAAAGGCCTCCATTCTTTGGCCTTCTCAGCCTTCCTTATGGTCCAACTTTCACAGCCATCCACTGCGACTGGGAAAACCATCGCCTGGACTATATGCGTTTTTGTTGGCAGGGTGATGTCTCTGCTTTTTAGTACGCTGTCTAGATTTGCCATGGCTTTCCTCCCCAGGATCAAGTGTCTTTTCATTTCTTGGCTGCCGTCCCCGTCTGCGGTGATCTTGGAACCCAGGAAAATAAAATTTGTCACTACCTCCATTTCTTCCCCATCTATTTGCCAGGAATTGAGAGGGCTGGACGCCATGATCTTAGTTTCTAATATCATATTTTCTAAGATTACATATTGCATCTAAGAGTTGGCAATTATTTATTTGTATCCCCCCTGTATTATTTTTACCAAAAGCTCAAAGTGGCGAACATCTCCACACACCTTCCCCCTCCTCTTGTCCCCATAACAACAGCAGCCCCCTGCGCGTGTTGGGCTAAGAGGCAGCGACTGGCCCAAAGTCACCCGCCTGACTGACCTTATCCCACCAGAGTTTCAGGCACCCACCCTGAAGCCAGGAGAAACTCAAGGGAAACTGAGGAAGGAGGGGTAACGTCCTTTGGGAGGAGGGCCGCTCCTGGGAGGGGCCCTCTTTCTCTCTCAGGCAGGCAGGCAGGCAGGCAGGGGCGGCTGATGGGGAAACCTCTGAGCTGTGTGGACACCGGAGCTTCCTGGCTGTCAGCCGCTCCTCCCTCTGCCCTTGCCCAGCCTCCCGCTGGCTTCCACACAGCTCGTGACCCGCTGGAGGTTGGGAATCAGGCCGTCAACAAAAGGAGGGGTGTAACCCCAAGGGCAGCCCCCCCCCCCGCTCTTGCTGACTGCAGGGAAGGAGGCGGCAAGTCGGGGGCTACAAGACCCCCCAGGGGGAGACCACGAAGGGCTCCCTTGGCACAGTTGGCCCTGGCAGCGGGAAGGGGAAGCGGCTCTGATCAGGAGCAGGACCGAGAGGCCCCCTCCTTTGTCTTGCAGCCCTCCTGACCCCTTCCAGAAGACGGGGGAGGGGGGCGGGGGACGGGCTGGCGCTTGCCAACCTTCTCTGGACATCCCGGGAACGGGGCTTTCGGTCCACGGACGGCGGGTCTTTCTTCAGGATCCCGGACACTGCTAGAACCTTGACGGGGGGGGGGGAGGCATCTCCCCAGCCCGTCATCAGGGGTGTCCCTGGTCTCCCCACCTGCCCTCCGCCCGGGGTCTCAGGGAAGTCGGCCCTGAGCTTCAGAAGGGGGGGGGGGGCAAGGGCGTCCATCCGGCTCTGCCAACTTCCTTGGCACGAACCTCCCCCCCCGCCCCCCGGCCAGAAGGTGCCCTCCTTCTGGGAAACGCCTGCAAGGGGCCCCTGGGAGCTCCCGCCGAGCAGCCCTGCAGGGCCCCGCTGCTCCCAGGAAGCCGCCCGGGAAACCACCTCGGCAAGTGGTGGGAAAGCTTTGCCGGAGCGGAAGCGCGGCTGCGGCCTCCGGGGAGGGGCGCCTGGCCGGTGTCCCCCGTGGAGCTCACCTGCATGCTGGCGTCCAGGGCGGTGAAGACCAGCCTGCAGGCGGGGCAGCTGAGGTTCGTCCAGCCGAAGCGCGCTCCGGCCGCGGGCAGCAGGCTCTCCAGGGCCGGCCGGCTCTCCCGAGGCACGGCCAGCCCCGCCGCCGCCGCCAGCGCCAGCGCCAGCGCCAGCGCCCCGGCCAGCACCAGGCGGAACGCCGCCGCCCGCATCGCCCGGCCCGGCTCGGCTGCTCAGCACGCACAACGGGACGCGCTCCGCCCGGCCTCGCCTCGCCACTGCCGCCCGGCCGGCCGCCCAGCAGGGAAGGCGCTGAAGCGGGCGGAGCGAGGCCCGGAGCCGGGAGGAGCGCTGGCAGCCCCCGCCCCCCAAGATGGCCTCCGCCCGGCTGGCCCTCGGGGCCCCGCGCCTTCCTCCCGCAGGCGGGCCGGGAGACGGGAAGGGCCCGAGGGGGAAGAGCCGTCCGAGCCGTCCCTGCCCGGCCAAGAGCCCCAGCCGGCTCGGATCATGCGGGGGAGCCCCTCCCCCGCCTCCCCCCAAGCCTGCCGTCAAGGAGCCCCCCCCCCCCACGATCGATCCCCGCGGCCCACGGCGGCCTTCCCTCTGCCCGGCTGTCTCGTTCGGCGGGGCGCCTCGCAAGGGGCCCGGAGTCGGAGAGCTTCCCCGCTGCGGGGTCCCTTGCAGAGGTTTCCTGAGCAGCCTAGCTAACCTGGCTGCTCGGGGGAGGGGGGGGAGGGGGGGGCGTTGCGCCCCGCTTATTATCTGCAGCGGCTGGGCCCGACGGCGGGGGTGGGGGCGGGGAGCTTCTCTTTGGAAGTTCCTTGATTGGGCTGATGCCGGTCTGGTGTTGAGGCTTCTGTTCTCTGGGCTTCTTTCTTTCTGAGTCTTTTTATTTCCTCCTCTGGAAGGTACGTAAACCTGTCTCTGGGTGGCCCTTTAAGGGCTGATTTATGGGAATGCCAAACTCCCAGGGATTCCCTACCTGGCCTGGGCTTGGTCAAGGATGCTCAGTTTCCCAGCTGAAGCTGCGGCTGAGCCTGTCCCTGCATCGTGAGATGAAGGAGTTTCTGTTGTGTCCTCTGACTTGGTCTTCGGGGATGCCCTCTGCTAGTCTGAGATGTTGTTTGTGTTCTCCTTTTCCTAGCCTGTGTTGGTTGTGCCCTGGCAGGTTGAGTGGTGGGGCGCCTTCTGATAAAGTTGTGTGGGATTCTACTTTCTTGCAGCGTGTTGTACTTCCCTTTTCTGGTGTTGTGGGTTGCTGATGCAATGCGTTTGTGTTCATCTGAATAATGTCTTTTTATGGGTGGTTGAGTTACTGCTTTGGTGATGGAGCGCTTGGTTAGCGTGGGTGGTTTTTCAGTAGTTGTTTTTCATGCCTTTCTAATTTGTTCCCTCTGCTGATGAGGCTATCCGGGAAGGGTTGTGTGTTGTTGTTTCCTTCTTCCTTGTGAATATTCTTCCTTTGAAGATGCTCCTGATTGCTCCATGTGTCTCCTCCAGTTGTTCTTTTTCATTAGGACGAAGGTGCCATCTGCATAACGACCTACATAACTACATATCTGCGTATTTTTGTTTGTGTGTATGGGAGAGCTGTGGTTTCTAGATGCTGAGAGTGGGTGTCCCTCTGATTTGTTGGCAAATATGTCCATCAATCTGAAAGCGGGTAGTGAGGCAGAGGCTGGTCAGGTCCATGATTCTGGGCGTTTCGATCTCAGGAATATTTAATTAGGTCAGGTGTGCTGTGTAGCACTCTGGTTCTACGGAGGTAAAGAGGGCTGTGACATCGAATGAACCGTCTCAACTTCTTCTCTTATTAGGTCTTTTCTGGATGCATTGGTGGTTTTTTTTGTAAACAAGTTTTATTAGAATTTTTCTTTCATCATACTTATTTTACGAACAGAGTGTTGACTGGGTCACATCTTATACATCTTATATATATTAATCTTTATAATCTATTCCAATCTTCCCATTTTTTCCATATCCATCTCTTTTATATAATTCTTTATCACAAATTAATCATTTTTCACCATACCTTGTTATTTCAGCTTCTGCCATATTGTTCTTTTTTTCCCAAGTCCATTTTACATGTTTTCAATATCAGCCATAATCTTTTTCCATACTACTTTATCTTATCTTAATTTCTTCTTAGTACATAATACATAAACAGTATCACTATCCGCTCTTAATTTCTAATCTCTTACAATAACATCAATTATTTATTCATTACAGAATATATTTCTCAAAATCCCCATCCCACTTTTTAACATTTCAACTTTAGTTTAGTTTAGTTTTTATTATATTTGTATACTGCCCTTCTCCCGAAGGACTCAGGGCGGTGAACAGCCATGATAAAACAACATACAAGACAAAATTTTAAAAAACCTATTAAAACAATTTAATCTTTGGCCAAAATTAAAACTTCCAATTGAAACCATTTTAAACCACTTTTAAAACCCAATTTAAAATCGTTTATCCCGTCAGACCGGCTTGCTGAAATAATAGGGTCTTCAGAGCACGACGGAAGGCACAGAGGTCGGGGATCCTTCGTATGTCCGGGGGCAGTTCATTCCATAGGGCAGGAGCCCCCACAGAGAAGGCTCTCCCCCTGGGGGTCGCCAGTCGACATTGTTTGGCCGACGGCACCCTGAGGAGGCTCTCTCTGTGGGAGTGTGTCGGTTGGTGGGAGGAAAACGGTGGCAGAATGCGGTCCTGTAAGTAACCAGGTCCTAAGCCATGGAGCGCTTTAAAGGTGGTAACCAACACCTTGAAGCGCACCCGGAAGACCACCGGGAGCCAGTGCAGCTTGCGCAAGAGGGGTGTTACATGGGAGCGATGAGTCGCCCCCATTATCACTCGCGCGGCCGCATTCTGGACCAGTTGGAGCCTCCGAGTGCTCCTCAAGGGGAGCCCCATGTAGAGAGCATTACAATAGTCCAGACGGGAAATGACGAGGGCGTGAGTGACTGTGTGCAAGGTGTCCCGATCCAGAAAGGGACGCAACTGGGAAATCAGGCGAACCTGATAAAAAGCCCCCCTGGCCACGGCCGTCATATGATCGTCTAAAGACAGCCGTGAATCCAGGAGGACGCCCAAGTTGCGAGCCCTCTCTGAGGGGGGTAAGATCTCATCCCCAATAGCCAGCGATGGTGTTAGCTGGCTATATTGGGACATTAGAAACCACAGCCACCCAGTCTTGGAGGGGTTGAGTCTGAGCCTGTTCCTCCCCATCCAGATCCGCACGGCCTCCAGACAACGGGACATCACGTCAAGGGCATCATTGGGGTGGCCTGGGGTTGAAATGTACAACTGCGTGTCATCGGCATACAGTTGACACTTCACCTCAAAGCCACGGATGATCTCGCCCAGCGGCTTCACATAAATGTTAAACAGGAGGGGCGAGAGGACTGACCCTTGCGGCACCCCACACGTGAGGAACCTCGGAGTCGACCTCTGCCCCTCCCCCCCCAGTCAACACAGACTGCGTACGGTCAGAGAGGAAGGAGAAGAACTTTGTCTCTTAATTTAAATTATCTTCAAAATTGAACCAAATTGCCATTCACATTTCATCTGCTATTCTGTTTTACTATAAGCAATATACATCATCATATTCAAATCTTACATTAAAACCCTTTAACTTAGTTGATCATCCACTATTAATAATATTAATACAGTTCCCTTAAATCTACTAGTATGTACCTTATTTCCCTTCCTCCTTTCCACTAATCTTCCCTTCTTTTCTCTTGGTCTCTCCAAAATTCCACTTGATAATTTTCTCCTTTTCTCC